GAAGAGCGGCTTTTTGAAAAAGGAGGCGGGGTTTGCCAGAAAAGCGCGTCTCGATTACTTTCACTTTCGAACGCTCTGCTTTCAGAAGTGAAATTTGCATATCCTCTTTCGAAACTTCAGCATAGTCTAGATGAGCCCCTACTGAACCTGTTCCTATTGCTACAGGTTGAACCTCTGTAGTCTGGCAACATCTGAGGTATGGCATGATTTTAGTTAGTTAGATATCCACTTATCATGGGTGTGGCCAAGTTTCCTGTGGTCCCGTAAAGTTCGTTTATAGCTGCCAGTGCTTGGCTCCGTGTTCTGTGCTGCTATTTAGCTTTAATTTACCACAAATGTGTTCTAAGAGCCCAGTAAGCAGTGGAAGTGATGGTAATGCCACTAAGCATAAGCATCATTTTTATGCTTTATCTACTTATTTCCTTGTGCCAATACAATAAAATTGTGTAACACAACAGTAACACTTTGTTATGAAGACAGCTAATAACCCTTGAATAGGCACAGGCTTATATAGGGTGTATCAGTACAGTCGTTTATTATTTAGCAGCATTGCAATCATTGTTCCATTTATTTGCCTCATTGAAATAAAAATAAAGAGATCAACTCACTATAGTACTGATCTCCCATGGTTCAGCAACTCTCTGGTTCGGAACCCATCAGGTTCCGAGGGTTCCAGACTAGAGAGGTACACCCTGTACATGCCATTCGTCCTATCTAAATCACATATACCAAACAAAAAGCCATGGCCTTCCACAGGGTTGTAGGCACCACTCCAATATCTACTAAAGTTAAAAAATAAAAGGACAAATAAAGAAAAAAGTTAACATTTTCACCAGTGTCTAAGTTCCATCTAAAAAAGAGACGTAGACAATAAGAGATGTAAATCCTGTTATCTCTCAGGCTGCTCAGGATTCTAATCTTCGCTAAATCTCTTTGGTCTTGGAAAATGGGCCATTGGCACTCTTGAAAATTTGTATCTCAAATATTACTCTAATGAGAACTGTACCCAGACTCCTCTCTGAAACCTGTCCACTGTGAAGACAAACTCTTTTCCTTTTAATATACTTTTCATTGTATGCCTCAGACTTCCTGATAATAAGTGTTAATGACAGAATTTAAGAACTAATGTCTTCCCATGAAGAAACTAATTATTTCTAAATATTGAGTCCTGTTTGGATTATTTATAGATACAGTGATATTTGTTTGTATAGCATACTGCATTATGGTGGATCCCAACCCAAAATGCTTCCCAGGCTATATTAATTGATTGTACAAACCACCTATTTTACCCACTAGTAAAATGACAGCTTTACAATATCACCACACAACAGTGTTAGGAGTGGAAAAGTAACGAAGGAAACTGTTGTAACTCCAGAGAAAATACCTGAAGGCAGCATGTAATCACCCCAACCTGACATTTGTAAAGAGTGTAATGGGACCTTCAATGAACCCAAATAGCCAGTAACTCAGTTTATCATCCCATCAAAAGACAAAGCTTTTCTGGAAATTACAGTGTCTCCTAGATACAATCTCCACATTTGTTTTCTATTTTACAGTTGAAATGCTCAGTACTTTACAAATGTAATCTGAAAGTCACTGATAGTAAGTAAAGATCTGCAGGAGTACCAAAAATGAGCCGTATCAATAAACACGTTAATAGGATGGTTAACATCTGTTTACATTACACCTGCTCTTTCCCCCATCTGAAAATGAATGATTTCTTCCCAAATAAACAGGAACTCTTCACTGTTAAGCTCCAGCTCACACAATAATAATTTGTTTTAGAGGGCTCCAATGTGGATGCCTGCCATGGCTTAGCTGACCATTGCCATTGGCAAATGTCACTATTAGCAGCAGCAGAGCTGAAAAGAGTAGGCGAAAGGCAAAGAAAACTAGCAAATGAAATATCATCCAATTTCCGATACCATAAATAATCAAGCAGTGTAAAGCATCCCCTCTGCTTCTGGAGAGGGACTAAGTTGGCTGCACACACAGTGGTGCTCTGAACAAGTGAACAGATGTCGAGGCAGGCACAGTTTTTCCACAATGGAATTCTTTTTGGAATGCTGCTATAAATTAAAACTCGATTTGCATCAAATAATTTCTGCTTCATTGACAGCTTTATGGATGCGCTTCTTTGGTGCTCACCGATTTTTATGGATTAAAGAAGCAATGTCCCTTAAAAGGACACTGAAAGTAATTTCCATACCTTTAAAAGTCATTTTTTTCCTCCTGCAGTTTTTATCATCTACTTGGAAATTTAAAACGAAATATACACTTTGAGAGGAAGGGGGATGGGATCTGTACCCAACCCAACTCCTGATGGATTTAATGTGGGCCTGAGGGGCTGTTAGAGTACTTAGTAGCTATACCTGTAGTGAAAGCCAGGCTTAACAAGAGGCTCAACTGGGCCAGAGCAGGCTAATTAAAAAGCTAGGAAGTTTACAACAGAAAGAGGCTGCAGGGACAGAGGCTGTAATCACTCACTCTCAGGGAGCAGAGAGGAGTGGAGGTGAAAACTCTAGCGGGAGAATAAACCCTGCGGTTCTAGCCTTAGTAGAAGGGTCAGCCTCAGAGGTGTTATGGGGGAAAGAAGGCCTGAGAGAGCTTGTTAGGAAGAAGCCCATGGAAACAGCACAAGGGGGAGGACTGTGCAGACTGTGGCTGCTTATTATAGAGTCACTGGGCTGGTACCCTTTATAAAGCATGGGCCACAGTTCCCCTACCAGTCACTAGGAAGTGGCATAGGAGCAAAAAAGATGCCAGCTCAACTAGCTCTATTACCAGCAAGGGAGGACTAATGTGACTTGGCTGGCAGACTAGTCCATGAAAATGAGGCGCTATAGCTTCTGAGATGCTAGAGAGGGGCTACAGAGTGAGATGTCAGGCTGGGGAACCACAAAAAGAGGGTATCTGGCTGGCAAAGCTAATTCTCATATGTGGCCGGAAGGAGACACCCTCATAGTGAGTAGACATCCCCATTACATAAGATTGTGGAGCAACCTTTTATTCAAGAAACAATTAGTACAAAATATTAGTTCCACATCTTCAGATTTCATGTTTTAGATCAATCCCTGCTATTGCAATATGTTTTTGATAGGAGGACAAACATATCATATCATCATTATCCTGCCTGTCAGGAAAAGAGGAAATGTAAATTCCTTTTGGAGCCCCAGCTCTGCATTTTGGGAGGACAGAACAGAAGAAAGAGAAGGAAAACACTGTGTTGTTCTCAATGTCTTCTCAGCTTCAACGTCTTCCCTTACTTTGCATGTATCCAACTACTGAATTTTTCATGGGTGATAAGTACAATCAAATATTTTTCTAATGTTGTAAATCAATGCATTAGCCAGGAAGGAATTCTCTTCTTCCATTACAGTAAACAATGAACAATCAACTAGATGTAGAATTGGGTATTTCTGAGGCCTATTCCCCCCAAAAAACATCGGGAGTTGGACACGGGTAAGATATCAGATTCAATGCATCCATACAGTCTAATCATTTCAGCACTTTCTTGAATCCTACTGAGAATTTCTGTAAGGGAAATCAGATATTCAGTTGTCTGTAGGATCCTATTTCCAACAAAGAAAAGGTGAGATTTTTTCAGTGGGCATTCTAAGTGTATCTACTGTGTCATCATAGACATGTACAATTAGATTTTTGGTTTAAGAACTGGATTTCATCATGACAGATATATAAGGTCAGTATGCACAATTGTAGCAGGCAAGAGGAGGGGCATTATTGTGCACATTTGTGTGTGCATGTAAAGAAAGAAAGAAAGAAAGAAAGAAAGAAAGAAAGAAAGAAAGAAAGAAAGAAAGAAAGAAAGAAAGAAAGAAAGAAAGAAAGAAAGAAAGAAAGAAAGAAAGAAAGAAAGAAAGAAAGAAAGAAAGAAAGAAAGAAAGAAAGAAAGAAAGAAAGAAAGAAAGAAAGAAAGAAAGAAAGAAAGAAAGAAAGAAAGAAAGAAAGAAAGAAAGAAAGAAAGAAAGAAAGAAAGAAAGAAAGAAAGAAAGAAAGAAAGAAAAGCTGATTAGTCATGTGACTGACAGTATACATCAGTGATGCCATCTTTCTTTACCTGTTGAGAGAAACAGGATTTTGCTGATTGTTCCGTGTAACCAAATGAAGGCCCTTCGAAAACTGCAGTAGGAAGTTTGAGAACCTCCCGTAGAAACATATCATACCTTCCATAAACCATCATGCCACCAGAGTCTGAAATCATTGAGAAAATATCTGGGGAAATTAAAACAAAAAATAAGGCAAGAAAAGGTTTACTTCAATTTAAAGCGCAGATCTTCTCTTAGTTTAACAACATATGAGCTGAACTTAAAGTAATAAGATTATATATAATGTATTCTGTTTATGGAAAACTTCAGGATTATTACACCTTTAATTTTAGCCTAATTTGCTAGAGGCAAAAGAAAAAATGCACATTTAAGAAATCTATATTAAAATATTCCTGCTTTCTGTGGCTCTGCAGTGTTCTTTTTTAGCTTGTGCTTGATGCACAACATAAAGAGTGTAATTTAGTCAGATAGAATGGATCCAATGTGACAAAGTGCACAAAATCAACTACAACTTTTGTGTGGAGCCATTCTGGCACCAAGTTCACAAGGCTATTTATTTTTTTTTTAGACATGTAGACTATTCAACAAATGTAAAATGCATCACTTGATTCTTATCACTTTTTTATCTTAAATTATTTGTCATGTAAGTATTACAACATTTTGTCATTCCATAACTGCATCTTACTCTTCTTTTACTTTCCTTGATGGTAAACACCACTTTCTTGCTTGAAAAAATAGTTTAAAAGGATCCAAATCTTAGTGGAGGATGCTAGACTTAAAGGGTGTGTCTAAACTACATGGCTCCATCGACGGAGCCATGTAGATTTGTTTGTCCGGCAAAGGGAAATGAAGCCGCGATTATTTAAATCGCGGATTCATTTCCCTTTGCCAATCAGCCTAATCTACATGGCTCCATCGACGGAGCCATGTAGATTTGTTTGTCCGGCAAAGGGAAATGAAGCCGCGATTATTTAAATCGCGGATTCATTTCCCTTTGCCAATCAGCCTAATCTACATGGCTCCATCGACGGAGCCATGTAGATTTGTTTGTCCGGCAAAGGGAAATGAAGCCGCGATTATTTAAATCGCGGATTCATTTCCCTTTGCCAATCAGCCTAATCTACATGGCTCCATCGATGGAGCCATGTAGTTTAGACTTACCCAAAGACTAGTATCATTTTTCTGGCTGTTATGGCCACTTCTGCTCTAGATGACAGCTATCACACTGGGTACATCTGGAGGGAAATTCCAGGTGAAGGACCCTGCAGTTCACTGCTGGGAAACCAGCGTCACACTACATTCTGTGTCTGCATACAGTCTATAGACTCTGGGAATCAATAGCTATCCTTCTACACAATATCACAGTAAAGAGAAACTAAACAGTATACTTTTGATGAAGCTGATCCAGAGGGACAAGAATAAAAGAAGGAAACCTCTCAGTGCGTCTGTAGCTAGAATAAACCTTGGCTAGATTTGTTTGGGAAATGAGCATAAATCCTGTAAAATAGAAGGGATAGACAGACAAGTGCTCCTGAAAAGGAAATATAAACAGTGTATAAATGGTATTGTTTTTCTAACTGTGAAAATGAGTGAGATGTCATGAAAGAGGAAATTGTCCAGTGATGCTTTATAATGCTAGGCATTTGCTGCACTTGACTGCACTGCCTTTGAATTCAATCAGTCTGAACAGAAATCAAATTTGTATTGTGTTCATCAGAATTATATATGTGATCTGGCTCCCAAAATATAAAACATGTTTGAGAGTCCTTCCAAACACTAAACTGGATTTATCCAAACTGTTTCAGGAACATCCAACTGCCACCAAATATAAACACACACCAATCCCATCAGGTGACTACCATTCTGACAAAATTTGTTATCATGCCAAATACATGATGAACTGACAGAGAAAACAAGACTTACATCTTAATTTGTCCATGATCTTTCCTCCACAAAGAGTTGCCAAAGCCATTTTGACAGCAAAAACTGAAATTTTACCATGTCCTTCCCTGTTAAATAATAATAAAAAATTGTTAAATGGCATGATCTTAATAGTATGACTGTACATTTTATGTGCATCTCCTTGACATGACATAATGCATCATACACATATTATAAGCAGATACATAGATTAATGTATTTTTATTTTTAGATATCTGTTTTCTTTTAAGAGACCATACAATGGCAGATTCCTCTGTGAAGCCATCAGAGACCATCAAAGAACAGCAACAACGAGCATTTTAATATTAAGTTTATCAGAGCAAAGTTTGAATGCTGGTTAGCACATCATGAATTAAGTTTATTATTATGAATTACTGTTATTATTTATTGTTGTTATTATAGTGCTCAAAGGTCCCAATCAAAATCAGGGCCCCGCTATGCTAGGAAAGGAGGATGAGGGTAAGGGCTTAAGAACACAGCTTTTGTACAAATTAATGGTTCCAAACCATTTGACTTTTCAATGATACCTCTGAGTCACATGCAATTTTAGAGGACACTTAGTTAAAATATGGATACTATCGTGCAATCAAAACCCCACTGAAATCAACAGCAGATCATTTATTTTCTATGGACTTTGGATGAGGTCCTATGTTGAAATTATTTTATAGTCAAGAAAAGCCTCCTTTCAATCCAACCCTTGGGTAATGTCAGATTTTATTATTCTAAAGCATTGACTATACTATACAGGATTTTACTAGCTCCATATGGCCACAAAGGATTCCACACTTTTCCCTGCAGGAATGATGACACAATTCATGGGTTACACCGAGGAGTTAAGCATTTAATATATTTCATTTCAAACAAATCCTGTTCTATTTAACTCTGTTTAACATATACAAGACTATCCAATATAAGAAAAAAGATTTAGAAATAATTTTCCTACACATCTAGTCATGTCCCAGTCAGATCATAAGGATCTCTTTCTTCCTTGGAAGTAACAAGTTTGTGCATTGCAGCGTCTGTATACAATATACACAATTTTAGGAATCGTTGATCTTTTCATGGAACCATTTTAAGGCCAAACTCAATTGCCCCATTTCCATTCCAATTATCCTGCAGCCATCTCGTGATTATTTATCATACAGAAACTTTAACATATTCCAGTTTCTGAGCCAATATCTTCCATCTTCGTTATAAGGCCCTCTGCTTTAAGTTCTAAAATCACTTTCCCTTGATAAGAGAAAAACATGGCACAAATTGTTCAAAGGAATTATGCTACCATAAGCAGAAGCCTGAACGTGCTAAAATGGAAAAACCTCACTAAAAATAATAAATTCCTCCTTTTATGTATTAATTTTTTTGGTATCAAATTTTTCAAATTTACATTTTCTTTTGATTTCTCAGCACGTTCCCTCAGGGCAGCTAAGATATAAATTATGTTGGGGCAGCTTTTACCTATTATCCGTGGAGATGTTTAATCGGTTCCTATCTCTCTGTTTAACTAAGTCATTGAGAGCATGTTCTCATCCTAATAAAAAAAAGATAATGGTTGTTTCACTGTCAGCCAATACTTTTCAATTTTACAGCACAACAAACCCATTTTTCTTTCTGAGTCCCATCAATGGGACTAATAATGGAGCCGTGTACTACTCAGTATGAGGGTGGCAGAGCGAAGCCATGAGAGTCTCTGTCACTCTGTGCAACTAGATGTTCTCTGACCTCCACTCTATGCTCCATTAGAGACTACTCCACAAGGTGTCTGTCTAGACTCCACAAGCCAAATCTATGTATAAGGATTATGGCTCTGGATATTAAAAATTATATGACTATTTTAATTGCTTTGGAATAGCTTTATTGCTTGCCAGTCATGACCGGAATGGAATAAATTATATTTGCTAGAATGAAAAGTATGCCTTATTTCTGAATACATAGTCCCCACAACCGTGTCCCTCTGCTTACTCCCAAATCTGAGCAGCATGTGTACATAACTCTTGTTTTATTTTGGTTATTAACAGCACACTACTATCCTGTTGTCCCATAGAAATCCTCTCAATTTAGCATATTAAAATGTGCTGTGTCCTTTCTGCCCAGGAGGACTCAAAGTTTCCAAAGGGATTGGCTGCTTGGCATTTCTTAAGACTGGGTTAACAAAACAATCTTTACAGTGTCATCCACTTTTTCACTTATAGATCAGTGTCTAAATAGGACAACATTGTTTTAACAATCTGTAGAAACATTTCCTTCTTTTGGAAAGAGAGAGAGAGAGAGAGAAGCAGCGCACAAAGTGAAATGATTTCACTCTGGCAGTGTTTAAAACATAAGGGACACATGAATAGCAATCCCTGATAGTCTTCAATGCTGTTTTTATGTTCATGTTCTCTTTGCATTCTGGCTGTTGTACTATTTCTTTATCCAATTTCAAAAGATTAAATCATATGTGAAACCTGTTCATTTCCCACAGTTCTGTCTTTTTCATTTTTTACTGACAGTGGACCAGACTCTCAGTATCCTCTTTTGCGGAAATACTTTTAACGGAAAAACTTTTCCGTTAAAAGTATTTCCGCAAAAGAGGATCTAGATTGGCACAGATGCTTTTGTGCAAAAGCATCCATGGCCAGTCTAGATGCGATTTTGCACAAGAAAGCCCCGATCGCCATTTTAGCCATTGGGGCTTTTTTGCGCAAAACAGTTCTTCCCTGTCTACACTGGCCCTCTTGCACAAGTATTCTTGCGCAAGAGGGCTTTTTCCCGAGCGGGAGTGTGAAAGTTTTCGTGCAAGAAGCACTGATTTTGTACATTACAAAGTCAGTGCTCTTGCGCAAATTCAAGCGGCCAGTGTAGTCTAGATGCACCCATTTAGTGTAGCTCGATTGATTATCTACCAGCTGAGGATCTAGTTCACTATGTGTATTCTGTTACCATTTCTTTTGTGTGACATCTTATAGCCCTTTGTTAAGTTTTTTACTCTCAATCTTTGACACAGAGATGTTAATCTGTTTTAAAATACTTGTTAAATGTAGCAAACATTAATGCTAAGTGAAAGCAATTGCATTTCTAAAGCGATAATGAAGAAGCTACGTGAAGAAATAACCATGTGGAAATACACTAGATTTAGCTATATTTCCCCAATAGGTTTAATTTTATTTACCTACAGGAGGTTTTTTTTGAATGGCAGGCACATCAGTTAGCCTTCAGGTTTCCACTCCAGCAACGGAGCCTTTTCCCACACAGGAGCCGGGGAGGTGGGAAAGGAATATATTACATGTATGTTTTTAATCTTTTAGTTTGATTTGATTTGTTCTGATACTATTTTGTATGTCATAAGTATTCATAAATAAACTAGAGCCAATGTAAATTCAATTTGCCCACTAAGGTTTATTATATATATGCACACCCACACATAAGACTAATGACTGGACATGATAACGGGATCTAGGACTTTCCAAAGTCCCATGGCCCAGAAATGTCCTAGGCACCTCGGCTGTGTAGTACATAGCTCCTCTCTATTAGCAGTATTAGGGTCTCTTGAGTAAAGTGCTGCTACATAAAAGCAAATACCTCAACCATCATGCAGATATGGACAGAATTCAGGGTGCCTCAGCCAAAGTGTTCATAAAATATCCCAGGCTGACTAACAGAAAGAGACTTACAATTTTTACCAGCAGAAAGAATAGAGAACAAAAAAGATTTTTGTATACAGGAGACCCTTGCAACTTGTGGAATTGCTATTCACAGTTCTGCATATTCATGGGGCTCTCCTTTCCTGGCCTACAGGAGGTGGGAGGGGACAGGAGTGACAGGGAATTCTCCATGGGTCCCAGCCCCTGGTTTCCCCAACTGCCACGGTGAGTTCCCTATGTCTCCCAACCTCCACAACTCCCAGCCTCCATGGTGAGTTCAGAAGCTTGCCAGGAGCCATGGTTCCCAGTATTTGTGAATTTCGCCATTCACAGTGGTGTCAGGAATACAGCCACCAAAAATGGGGAGGGTTTCCTGTAGTACTTTTCATATTAAAAGGTATCCCCCAAACATTTCATACATAGTAGCCTATACATGCTTAACTACAGTACACAAAGATTACTGAGATCAGGGAATGCTGGAACTAGGGGTATTTCCTAGTGCTGGAAAAATTCCCACTTGCTTATATCACTAGAGTGGAACAGAAGGTCCTCTTTTTAACACAAAGAGGCCCCTAAGTACTGAACTGTAACACCAACAATGAGTATGAGGCAAGGTCCTGGTCCAGGACTTGAGACTGCATCCCTCTGGTCCAGGTATGAGTAGTACAGTTGAACCTCTCTAGTTTGGCACGCTTTGGTCTGGCAACATCTGTGGTCCGGCATGATTTTAATTTGCCAAATGTTCACTTATCATGGGTGTGGCCAAGCTTCCTATAGTCCCATAAAGTTTATTTACAGTCTGTGCTGTTATTTAGCTCTAATTTACCCTTAAGTATCTTCTAAGAGCCCAGTAAGCAGTGGAAATGTTGGCAATGCTGCTAAACAATATTGATCTCCTCTGGTTCGACAAATTCTCTGGTTCAGCACTGATCAGGTCCTGAGGGTGTTGGACTTGAGGGGATCAACCAGTATCAAATGAGCTGCACTGACACCTGTTAAGCTATCCACCTGTACTGATGCTTAAATTGCCATAAAGAAAATAAAAAAGTCTAATGCAGAGAACAAGAGAAAAATAAACTAGCATCTTCCATATAATTAGAAATACAATAAATGTATCTCATTAGAGGGACTCACAAACTCTGATTTTATAATTGATGAGACATGAAACATAGGCTTTAAAACTAGAGTATCACTAGGGGAGCAGAATTTCTTCAAATATTTATGGGAGCGTTTAATACCTTAATTATGACAGTGAACTCTGAACTGTCACAGCTTATAATTAAGAGTTTCCTTTTTCAGAAATATTTCAGTAAGGAAATTAATTGGAATCAAGCTGAGCTCTTTCATTCAGCTGAGCAATGTGTTTAATGGCCACATCTCTGAACAGCACGTTTTGCAGGCCTTCCTTCTGTTTTAATGGGTAGCAGGACTATATAAATTGCACGGATTAACAAAGCTGGAGAAAGCAGAGCAGAGAATTTAACATTTTGCAACTCTGAATGGAAGGGCAAATGAGAAGCTGCTTTCAGAACAGGTATTGAGCTTCTCCACAGAGTGACTCTAATTCTAGAAAAGACATTTGTTCAAAGAGGGGGTGAAACCAAAGCCCCTCAAATTATGTCTCAAAACTTCTGTCAAGATTTTACCAAGCCTTATTGTCCTCTACTGCATTTTAGAGCATACATAAAAGCAGTATTACACCAGTTTTTTCCCCCAAACTGACTGAACTGTGCATTTCTGTGCTCAGGCATTTATGGCAAAAATCCTGCCCGTACTGGTACCATCACAGTGTGCCTCCAAGGGTATGTCTACACTAGCACCCTAGTTCGAACTAGGGAGGCTAATGTAGGCATTTGAAGTTGCAAATGAAGCCCGGGATTTAAATATCCCAAGCTTTATTTGCATCTTCCCGTCTGGGCACCATTTTTAAATCCCCCTAGTCCAAACTAACTGCCCACGGCTACACACGGCAGTCAAATGTTAACTCGAACTAAGTCCTTAGTTCAAGTTAACTGTTACACCTGTGCAATTTACATGCAGCGCCTCCCAGTACGTGTGTTCAGGTGCTTTGCTTTGCTTTCCATGTCAAGTAACGAATTCAGGTTTTTTCATTAATTAAAACACTCCATTACATGTTTTATTGCCCCTTAAAAAATCCTGAAGGCTACAGTTTCACAACCTATTGACATTTTTTCCTTTGAGAGGGGAGGTAAAATACAGACACACTGTGCCTCTGCAGCTCTGTCATGTGGAACAACTGCCTGTCCCCCAAGCTGTTACCATGGTGACTATGCCATACCCGTTGATCTGGCTCTCAAAAGGTGCACAATACCAAGCAAGAAGTCCATCGAGTCCGGCAGAGCGGGAAGGGGGAGATACTTATTTTAGGGCTTCTCAAACAATGTTTTTAGCTGGTATATTTTCAAAATATAAATGATGAAGTGGTAATAGGCAATTTGCATGTATCAAACTAAAAAACTGTTTTGAGAATTCAAGCTATTCAGATGCTTTTAAGAATGGCAATAACATATTGATGTCTCTGCATTCAGTAACCCATAATATATATTTTTACACTACCTACTCATCTATAATGTTAAGTTAGGAACTTGTCTTCATCTTGAGTTCACCCCTGTTGTACTCAGGTATTTTGACACATGGTTCAGATAGTAAGAAACAACATTTAATTTTATTCCATCTCCTTATCCTTATCTTATTTCTTCATGATCTTAAAACTGGCTGCAATACCAGGAACCAGGAAAACTGCAGCAAAAATAGTTCTCTCTAAATAAGGGGTCAGAAATTTACGTTAATAACATATAATCATTACAGTAGTTTCCCATCTCTGATATTTCAATACATAGTAATGCCAATTAAACGTGGCATCACTCTGCTCTGTGAGTAATTCTATTTACATTTAAAGCTGAGTAAGTCTGGAGTAACTCTGTGAAATATACCAGAAATACTCAATTATATCAAGAGTAACAACAGGGCCCTGCCAAATTCATGGTCCATTTTGGTCAATTTCACAGTCATAGGATTTAAAAAAAAATGATAAATGTCATGATTTTAGCTATTTAAATCTAAAATTTCACTATGCTGTAATTGTAGGGGTCTTTATCAAAAAAGAATTGTGTGAAGGTCACAAGGTTATCTTAGGGAGGGGTTGTGGTACTGCTATCCTTACTTCTGTGCTGCTGTTGGCGGCAGCGCTACCTTCAGAGCTTGGCAGCTGGAGAGAGGTGGCTGCTGGCTGGGATCCTAGCTCTGAAGGTAGAGCTACTGCAGCAGCAGCACAAAGTAAGTGTGGCATGGTAAGGTAATATAATTACCTCCTAAAATAACCTTGTAATGTCCTCTGCAACAGTCTTTTGGGTCAGGACCCCCAATCTGAAAAATGCTGCTTCTCCCCCCCCCCCGTGAAATCTGTATAATATGGGGTAAAAGTACAAAAAAGGCCAGATTTCATGGGAGGCGACCAGATGTCATGGTCCATGATGTGTTTTGCATGGCTGAGAATTTGGTAGGGCCCTAAGTATAAATGAGATCAGAACCTAACTCCTTTACTCCAGCTCCCCTTGCAGTATTCACTCTATTTATTTTTTTATTAATTTGGATAGAAATTTTAATTTCGTATCTGTTTTTTAAAATGACACAGCAGACAAAATCCTTCCACTCATCAGGAAAAAGAGGCACATATACTGATAGTAGAAGTCAACTTACGGATCGAAGGCTGCTAGCAGGAAGTTGAGCAGTAAGCTGATGGATTGCTCTACATTGATCTGGTGAGTAGTTGGCATCCGTTTGTTGAGCTGGTAAAAAATAGTTGAAAGCACAGCTTCCAGACGAGCCACATTCAATTCTATGTTTGGGTCCAAGTTGTTTAATGCATTTTCTCGCAATGCTTCTATAATGTTCCAAATGTCCACCAGATGTACTATGTGCAATTTAAGAACAATCATCAGATACTCACATATACATATAAAAAAAAACCAGCCCCAAATCAACTCATGAACTACCTGGGCATAGTACACATAGTTCAGGTGATATTTTATGTATAAAAACATTTCTTTCCATCTTTGGCATTTAATCCAATCAGGAGAAAGGAGCAAGGAAAATTTCAAATCTGCTAATAAAAATAATTATATATAAAATGTTAGGTTAGCTGAGATGTCATTCAAAGTTCTGTGTGTGGCTCCAAAATAGGAAAAGCACTTACGTGTTAATTTAAGCCCCATTAGTTACACAGAAATTAAGCACCTGCTTAAGTGTTTTCCTCAGTCATAGCTTTATGAGTAGCAGCTTGGTAATTACAGGTTGAACCTTTTTAAACTGAACTTCCACTTCTGGCATCGTTAGTGACCCTGTGGGAGCACTCATGGAGACAAACCACTGGGCTGGGGCCAGGAGCATTGCTGGACTAGGTGACTGGGGGCAAGCAGAGCCATCTGGGGTGGCAGAGGAGCCATCAAGGGAAAGCAGTCTTAGCAGCTGCCTGGGGAAATCGGGGCAGCGGGGTGGCTGGAGGAAAGCAGAGCCCGTGACAGCAGTTGGATAGAGGAAAGCCGCAGTTGGATAGAGGAAAGCGGAACCCCAGGCTGCATTGACTTCCCTGGTCTGGCAAATTCCCTGGTTTGATGATGCTGGACCAGGGAGGTTCAACCTGTATTCTTATTAAGTTACAGAGCTGGTGGGATTTTAAAAGGCTCTTAAGAAAGTCCATTACTTAGCTCACATTGACTTTCAAACTCACTTAGTCACTTTTGAAAATCCTGTCCAGCAACTTGCACCAGAGTCAAAGTGCTTTACAAAATAGAGCATAATTACATTTGGACAGATTAAATTATCATTTAAAAAAGAAAAGATGTAGCACAGATCTTCAAACAATATTTCATTCTCTTAAATTCATTTGCCAAGTGTTTTGTAAATGTTTTCTGTCTCTTTAGCTTCCCTGCCCAATCTAAACTCTATGACTCCGTCTTTCATGAGAGTAGTTTAAATGTCAAAATATCCAACATTTAGTGTCAGAGGGAAAAACATGTGTATATGTTAATGTTATTATGATGCCATAATTAAGATAATTACAAGTCAAAATTTATAGCTGTGGATGATCATTGAATGTGTTTTCAAAAACGGATCTAGTTCGAATCTCTGGATTCATCCATAAGAACAGCCATACTGGGTCAGACCAAAGGTCCATCTATCCCAGTATCTGTCTGCCGACAGTGGCCAATACCAGATGCCCCAAAGGGAGGGAACACAACAGGTAAACATCATGTAATCCCTCTCCTGCCATCCATTTCCAGACAAACAGAGGCTAGGGACACCATTCCTTCCTATCCTGGATAATAGCCATTGATGGATCTAACCTCCGTGAATCTAGCTAGCTTTTTTGAACCCTGTTAAAAGTCCTAGTCTTCACCACATCCTCTGGCAAGAAGTTCCACAGGTTGACTATGCGCTGAATGAAGAAAAACTTCCTTTTGTTTGTTTTAAACCTACTGCCTATTAATTTCATTTGGTGACCCCTAGTTTTTATATTGTGGGAATAGACAAATTAATTTTTTCCTGATTCACTTTTTCAATTCCAGTCATGGTTTTATAAGACTGCTGTCATATCTCCCCCCCTTAGTCTCCTCTTTTCTAAGATGAAAAGTCCAAGTCTTTTTAATCTCTCTTCATATGGGACTCGTTCCAAACCCCTAATAATTTGTGTTGCCCTTTTCTGAATCTTTTCCAATGCCAATACAGTAAAACTCCATTGGTCCGACATCCAATGCTCCGGCACTCCTCATGGTCCGGCACCATCGGAAACCCGGAAGTGCTCCGGGCAGCCGGACAACTGGAGCTGCTCTGCGCCTGGCTTCCACGATTCAGCCGCTGCTGAAACTGACCAGCAGCTGAATCGGGGAAGCCGGGGGGAGAACAGGTGGGGGGCGGCCGGGGTTGTTCCATGGGGGCTCCCCTGCGCCCGGCTCCCCCAATCCAGCCGCTGCTGAAAATGACCAGCAGCTGAATCGGGGAAGCTGGGGGCAGAGCAGGTGGGGTGCTGCTGGGTTGGTCCCGTAGCGTTGCCCTTCGGGCTGTGGGACCAACTCTGCACCCCCCCAGCTGCTCTGCCGCAGGCGTCCCCGATTCAGCCGCTGCTGAAACTGACCAGCATCTGCTGAATCGGGGACACCTGGGGCAGAGCCGGACTATCGGAAGGGGGGGCTATAAGGGGTCTGGGATGGCACCTCCCCTCACCCCACCCCACCTCCCTCATAGCCCCCCCTTCTGATAGACCGGCATATTTGATAATCCGGCACCCGCTGGGTCCTAAAGGTGCCGGATTATCGGAAGTTTACTGTATATCTTTTCTCCAAATCTGAGTTCGAAGTACGATTCCAGCTGTTCTTAGCCTTATTAGTATTTGTATCCCAACTGAATGGTTAATATTTCAGAAGATGCACAGAGTAAAGGTACAAGTACAGTATGGATTATTTTATTACAGTGATAAATGTAGCATTGCCCTTCTATCTTACAGTATAATGAGGTACATTTGCACCTTGGAAGAAATGCCTGTTATTATGGATAATGACATCACCCAACCCCTCTCTGAATGGTCAATATGTCTTTCTTTTGTATGAGAGGATTTATTTCTACCTTCTATAATAGCATCTATGGTGCTCTGCTCCCATTTGCACGTGTTGTAATGCCAATGGAGGAAAGGTACAGAATGCAAGGTGGAGACAGCAAAACTTCCTGGTATGTATTAGGCAAAGAATCATCCTGCTTCACTTGCCATATGTTAGCAGCAAACTGGGAAAGGTTGCATGATGCAGGTCTGCAGTCAGAGCTAGCTGGTATCTTAGATCTTTGCAATACATAAAAACCTCTCTATACGTGACCTTCTCAGAGGCAGACAGAACACACAGCTGGACACTCATTCTTTCTGATGCTCTTGCCACCTATCCTCCAATAGAAGTATTGGGATGGATCCCAAGTCCCTTTTATCTGGACCTCCCAACTGGCCTAACACCACGGTAAAGTCAACCTGTTTTAAAAGAAGCACCCTTCTCTTCAGATAATCAGCCACCCCTACGTGCAGCTCGTGTCAGGGGATGTAGTAAATCTAAGGACAAGTCTGATGACATGACTAGTACAGTAAAACTCCAATAGTCTGGCATCCAATAGTCCGGCACTCCTGATAGTCCGGCATCAAAATGGCAAGAGCCTAGTGAGTGAGCTTCGGCAAAAAATGAGTCACAAGGTAACAGCGGCAGCAGCTGAACTGAGCAAAAAGGGTAAAAAAGGCTTAAAAAAACGAAAACATTACAGTATACTGTATACAGTATGTACAATAAAAAGGGTTAAGAACACGTTATATACAGTATATAATGTATACAGTGTATATATAACCATTTTATAGTACCTCCTGATAGTACGGCATATCTGATAATCCGGCACTATCTAGGTCCCATAGGTTCCGGATTATCGGAAGTCTACTGTACTTAAATCTGACTGCTAGAGTCAGAGTGGGGAACAAACGAGGGAGCCAGATGCTAGGCCACTTGAGGGTCAAGGAGATGGAACTATCTAAAAGTACTTTTTTTATTTTTTACTCCGGCCCAGTAATGGGGTGTGGGGGGAAGGCAGACAATAGAAAGCAAGATACCAAATTATGGGATAAGTGGGCTTAGAACACATAAATTAGGTGGAATTAATCTTCTTACTATATACTAGTGGTCACCAACCAGTTGATCGCAATTGACTAGTTGATTGTGGGGGCACTGCCGGTTGATCGTGAGGCAGTGTTCCCAGCTCCCCTTTGTTCCCCCCCACCCCGCCGCAACGAGGAGCCCGCACTGGTGCTACAGCCTCCCATCCCCTGCAAAAATGGAGCTAGCTCTGGCTTCCTACAGTGAGGGGTCAGGGGCTCCTGAGGCTCTGCGCCAGATCTGGCTTCTCAGGAATTGCACACACTGTTGTGGGAAGGGGAGGAGCAGCACGCACACTTCCTGCGAAGCTGGATCTGGTGCGGAGCCTCGGGACTTCCCCCCTCCCCATACTAGAGGAAGGGAGGAAGGCAGTAGGGGGAAGGAAGGAAAGACAAGAAACTGCGTGCTCCCCCCTCCCCACAATAGCGTTCATTTTCTTGTCTTCCCTTCCTTCCCCATGCTCTGAGGAGGCTGCGGGGGAGGGGGGAGAGGGGGCATAGTTAAGATGGTGGTGCAGGATCCGGAGTGGGCTGGATTTTTTAAAGGAGCTACATGTGTGCTTCTTCCAGCGCTGCCTGCAGATCCTGCCCTAGAGATCATGGTCCCTGGAGACCTCCAGGTACCAGCTAAGCTGTTCCTGCCCCTCCCCCCTGTCCAGACCCCCACTAGCACCCTGTCCCTTGGCCAGGCACCATCCAGCACACTGCTTCTGCCTCCTCCCTCCTGGCCGGACACCTCCACCCAGCTTGCTCCTGTATCCTACTTCCCACTCAGATTCTGTACCCCCATCCATATCCCACTCGCAGGCAGCTCTGTCCCACACACTGGATTCCTCATTTTTGGCCCTACCTCAGAGCCTAGGGGGGCACAAAATCCCCTGGAACCCCAGAAGAGTTAATCTGCCCTGAAGCCTAGAATGTCAGTCTGCAATGTATTTACATGCCAGATATGCTTAGACTTTGCTGGGCCCTGGGCAAGGGGTAGGGGGGCATGGCTGTGGAACCCCAGAAGGAGCTGGGGGCTAGGCTCCTCCAGCCAGCCCATCAGCACTGCCTGGCACATGCCCATGTGGGGCTCTGGTGGCAATTTAGAGGGCCTGGGGCTCCGGCTGCTGCCATTGCCACTGTAGCAGCAGTGGTGACCAAGAGCTCTGGGCCCTTTTAAATTGCTGGGCCCAAACTGGTGGGCCCGGATCTATTAACCTGCCTTATGTCACTATATGTTTCTATTGGTAAGC